ATCAGCCATTACCAGCAGGGGAAATCTGAATGAAGTCACTCCCTCCATGAATCTAGGCAGTATCGTTTCGACTACATGAAGGTTGTCAAGGCCAGATAACCGGGGATAGGGGAAGCAAGACAGACTCCCATTAATCTGAAGTCACCATGGAAATCCAGTGTACTAACGATAGAGAACAAGATTCGTATTTTCAACACCAATGTCAAATCAGTGCATCTATACGCTACAGAGATTTGGCATGTCACCGAAACTATTTTCAATAGCCATCTGCAGAAGTTTATCAATAGCTGTCTTCACTCCATCCGGAAACTTAGATGGCCGGCCAGATTCAATAAGCAACAAGGAACTCTGGTAGCGAACCTATCACCCAACAAATAAGCAGAAGACAATGGACTGAACATACGCTGAAGAGACCAATGCATAACACCACATGCCAGGCCAGTGCTCGAGTGGAACCCGAATGAGACGATGCGAGTTGAGCAGGCGTCTGAATGCGACATACAGGAGAGCGTGTATGTGGCGGCATCAGCCGATGAAATCCACAACAGTTAGAGCCACGTAGGAAGGTGTAGTCTGTCTGTCTGTTTTCGATATAGAACTTTGCACATATGTGCGGCAGTTCAAGTCGCCACACTCCTTGTAGCACACAAAGCAAGAGAAGAAAGTAGGAGAAATTCATAATAATGACAGTAAACAGAGGTGTGAGACAAAGGAATAGTAATAACGAAGAACAAAACAGTTTTATTGGAAATCATAAGTCATAAGGAACGATTTTGAGCCATATCACCAATTGTTTCCAACCATTGGATTTTACCGTCCCGAGGACCCCAACCAGGAAGTCTACACCTTCCTACTTGTCTGGTATAAACTAACTGTTGTAGATTTCATTGACTGGTGCCATGTTTTCATTTGACCGCCGCTAGCTCTTTTCCAACCTGACCCTATATCAGCTAACATTTTCCGTCGAGGAAAGCGATGACTAGGCATACGGAACACATGTCCTAACCATCTCAGTTAATCGATGTAATTTCACAGTCTCGTCGACTGATTTCCCCTCCTTACCTAGCGCTAGACGCCTAACGTCAATATTGCTCACCTTATTATACCACTTCACGCGGGAGATAGAACGCAGACACCTATGATCAAAGACATCTAATCTTTTCATGTCTTCCACTCTCAATGGCCAGGTCTCCCAGCCATAAACGAGGACAGAGCGGACTGATGAGCAGTACACACGCCCTTTGGTCGATAGCCAGCCGGATATCACGTCTACGCTAGAGACGGAAGGTGTAGACTTCCTGGTTGGGGTCCTCGGTATGGTAAAAAGCAATGAGAGCTGGAGACAATCGGTGATATGGCTCAAAATCCTCGTTCTCAATGGCTAGCGCAGATGCATCCACTCCTTGTGACTTATAAGACTCAATTAAACTATATAGTTCTTCGATATTACTATTCCTTTTGCCTTATATCTCTGTTTTCTGTTTCTATTTTGCATTTCTTTTTACTTTCTTCTCTTGTTTTGTGTGCTAAGTGAAGTGTGGCGACTTGAACTGCTGCACATCGGTGCAAAGTTCTATGTTGAAACCAGCCGACCAGTCAGCCAATGTATGTGGCGGATATGAAAGTTGGTGAGCAATCGTGGAGGGAGCTAAAGAGGATTGTAGAGGAATGTGCTGCTGAAGCCCTATGTTCCAACTGCTACCCTATGTCCTTGTCTGATAGGATGCAACCATACTTCAGTTAACATTACACGTTCCACGGGTAACAAAGTACTTTTAACACACTTTTACAGTTTATATCGGTGAAAAATTGATTAAAAAGACACTGTCTTATCTCTCGCTCTCTCTCACTTACTTAGTATTACCATTGCCTGTAGCCGAAAATGTTCCATCCGTATGATGCACACCTCGGTGCGCACCATCTGTTGAATTCATGATATGACTATTACTATGATTACTATTATTATAATTATTATTATCATTATTATAATGATGATCTGAAGGATCCATTAACCGGGAATTATCTCCACCAGTTGAATACTGATCCCCGAAATCTGAATTAGTAGTAGTCATAACAACCGGTGGTGTACTGACTTTTGGTTTAATTGATCCAAATCGAAGTGTTGTAGGCAGTGGAGGTGGATTTTTATGCTTTTGCAATGGATGTGGATATAGGACACGTGAAAGTGGAAGGTAGGATAATTGTTCCGGTGTATAATTCATATAATATTCAGCGAATTGTCCAGGTATAACAGCTACAGGATAAGCACCACCACCACCACCTTCACCAGCGCCACCAGCAGGAAAATTTGTATAATCTAATAGTTTATACTTCCTTTGTGGTATATGAATTTGCATTGTCTGTAAATCCCAATAACACCGTCTGGAATTTAAACGTTCACTTATAAGACGATGGTTATAATCGGCAGCTGAATCTAAAGCCCGTCGACGTGCAGCTTCAGCTCGAGCTTCACCGCGTTCAATACGAGCAGCCTGTGTAATAAAAGAAAATAATGATTTTTAAAAATATACATAAAAACATACACAGATTGCGAAATGACAGTTCAACTTCATTGACTATTCGGTTCTGTTTCCATGACTGAATGATCAATGATGAGCTCAATTTGTGAACTGAAGGTCCTGGGGTTTGATCCCTGATGGAACCTTTCGCTAACTTACGCCATCTCTGGCGTAGGCGTGACATCCGACGATCAACCAAGGGACGTGTATACTGCTCATCAGTTCGCTACGTCCTTCTCTATGGCTCTGAAACATGGCCAATACGAGTTGAAGACATGAAAAGGTCGACTGTTTTTGATCATAGATGTCTACGATCTCTTTCTCATGTTAGGTGGTACAATAAGGTAAGTAATGTTGACGTTAGGCGTAGAGTGTTGGACAAAGACGGAAAATCAATTGAAGAGGCTATGAAGTTACATAGACTGAGATGGCTAGGTCACGTGCTGCGCATGCCTAACCATCGTCTCCCCCGACGGGCATTACTAGCTGATATAGGTAGGTGCAGGTTGGAAAAGAGTAAGCGGTGGCCAAACAAAAACATGCCATCAATCAATCCATGAAATCCCTGACAGTTAAACTGAGTCAGGTAGGGAGATGCAGACTTCCGGGTTGGGGCCCGCCCTCGGGACTCTAAGAATCAATGGCTGGAGACATTAGGTGACATGGCTCAAAATCGTTGTCAATGGCGCAGATGTATTCAGTCTCTTTAACCTTCATATTCTTCTCTACCATTACTCATTCTGTTTCACTCTTATACTTGTCAAAACTCTATTGATTCTCTACACTCATTTTCTTGTCTACCTTTGTGTGCTCTTTGGAACGTGGCAACTCGAACTGCTGCACTTCGGTGCCAAGTTCTACGTTGAATCCAGACAGGAACCATGGGTGTGCACCGATGAAGAGCCCTGAACTGGGACGAAACAGGCGTGTCCAGTACTGCCTGATTCCCAGTGGTTCTCTGGCTCATGTCAGCCTGTGATCGAAGTTCAAATAAAACAAAACTGTCTGATTTCATACTGAACAGTTGTTTCTCTAAGCAAATAATGATTAGTGCAAACACCAGAAATATTTAGTTATGTATGGACAGTATTTATAATTTGGTTAAAGTTCTCTATAAATGTGTCAGCAGTTCAACAACAGAATGCTGACCAGACACGACGCGGAAGATCCAGGTTCGACTCCCAGATGATGCACGTCTAAACTTCGCCTGGCTTGGGGTAGTAAGTCCGGAAAAAAGAGAAGGCTGGATGTGAGGCTTGCAACCCCATCCCACCCCGTAAAAACAGACAACATTGCTAGTGAAACACACAAAAGCTTGAAGCCTTCTGCTCCACTCGGAAGACAAAGGAGTGAGAAAGAAAATGAAAAGATCCTATATTTAAAAGGTCAATGTTTTTGTGTGTCAGTGAGAAGCAGTCCACTTCGTCTTCCTTTACGGTTGTGAGATATGGCTGTTTAAAGTGGAGGAGGCTAGTTGTCTTTGATCATAGGCGTTTGAGTTCTATTTCTCATGTTAAGTAGTATAATATGGTCAGAAATAATGACGTGAGGCGTAGAGTGTTACCTAAGGAGGGAAAGTTAATCACAATGAGGTTGTGCAGTTGCATTTGTACAGATGGCTAGGACACGTATTACGCATGCTGAGCCATAACCTTCCTCTTCAAGCAATGTTAGCTTGCATACGGCTGAGTTGGAAAGGAGTTAAGGGTAGTGAAATCAAGCCAGCGTCAACCCATAAAGTCTTTGACTGATGATTTCAGTCATACAGGGAGGTGTTGGGTGCCCAACTGTGGTACTCATAACTCTAAGAACCAATGGCTTGAGACTTGGAGACATGACTTAAAATCGTTCTCATTGACCAAGATGGATTCACTCTTTATGAACTCCTATATTCATTAAGTTATCATTAGTCTCTATGTACTAATTCTTTCCCCTGAACATTTCCGTTCATTTTCGGTCGGTCGGTCGGTCGGTTTTCGACATAGAACTTTGCACATATGTGCGGCAGTTCAAGTCGCCACAATCCATGTAGCACGCAAAGCAAGAGAAGAAAGTAGAAGAAATGCATAATATAGACAGTAAACAAAGGTGTGAGACAAAGGAATGGTAATAACGAAGAACAAAACAGTTTCATTGGAAATCATGAGTCACAAGGAGTGGATGCATCTGCGTAGCCATTGAGAACGATTTTGAGCCATGTCACCAATTGTTTCCAATCATTGGTTTTCACCGTCCCGAGGACCCCAACCAGTCAGGTTGTCTACACCTTCCTACGTGGCTTAGACTAACTGTTGTGGATTTCATTGACTGGTGACACGTTTTCGTTTGACCGCCACTAGCTCTTTTCCAGCCTGGCCCTATATCAGCTAACATTGCCCGTCGAGGAAGGCGATGACTAGGCGTGCACGCGTAACACATGTCCTAACCATCTCAGTCGATGTAATTTCACCGTTTCGTCGATTAATTTCCCCTCCTTACCTAGCACTCGACACCTAACCTCAATATTGCTCACCTTATTATACCACTTCACACGGGAGATAGAACGCAGGCACCTGTGATCGAAGACAGCTAATCTTTTCATGTCTTCTGCTCTCAATGGCCAGGTCTCACAGCCATAAAGGAGGACGGAGCGGACTGTTGCGCAGTACACACGCCCTTTGGTTGATAGTCGGATATCGCGTCTACGCCAGAGACGGCGTAAACTGGCATATGCGAACCTAGCCCTCTGTATTCGTGCTGAAATTTCGTCTGAGATCAACCCGTTGGGGCTGATGGTACTTTTAGTCCATTTACTTCTTTTATCCTCTACATTTGTGGATGTTTTTTTGTTATTATTATTCCCTTGGGTTCCTAGTGGAACATAGGGCTTCAACAAAACATCTCCAATTTGCTCTATTTTCTGCTGTCCTCTTCAGCTGAGTCCACGACTGGCCATAACCTCTGATCTCTTGCAACTAGCACGATCTTCGACATGCCAACCTCCCACCAACCATCCACTCGTCGCTTCCCATTAGGATTCCACTCGAGTGATGGCCTGCGTTGAGCGCGATGACATTCCACGGTCTCCTCAACGTATGTCCGATCTATGACCATTTTTTTCCTAAATATTTGTTGAGTAATCGGCTATTTCTTGGTTTCTTGGTGCTAATTCTTTGTGGCTGGCCGGCCATCTGATCTTCAGTAAGGAGCCAGAGAAGGGGTTAGCTGTTGATAAAAGTCTGCAGTAGCCTGTTGGAAATCCTTTTCGTGACTGACACGCACTGCAAGTTTCTGACCCGTATAGACAGACTAACCGACTTCACATTGATGTTGAAAATCCGAATCTTGTTGTTTATGCTGACTGAGTGACAGCAAAAGATTTTCAAACTGGTTTCAGGTTGATGAGGGCGTATCTTGCCTTTCTGATTCTGGCTGGCTAGCTGTCTGGCTTTGACATCTTCCTCCATTCCGACGGGCTGTGATTGAAACTATGCTTCCTCGTTGGATAACTGAAGGAAGTAACCTCTGTTAAATCTCTCCCTGTGATGGTGATTGGTGGTGTTGGTTGGTTATCTTCATCACTTCCGTCTTCTCTATGTCCACCTGAAGTCCTGTCTTTGTTGCAATGCTTCTTCAGCCAGTTTGTTGGTTTTCGCCTGCAAGTCTTCGAGTTTGTGTGACATCAAACATAAATCATCCACATGCGAAATCCATATCTTCTAGAGTCTTTTTATCGGTCAGTGCAGCGTATTCCTGTCTCCTCGCTCCCAACGCACAGTCTGAGGCACAATCCAGTCCACCACAATTATTAAGAATATCATCAGTGATAATAGATTGGCGGCCTTGTCTTACTCCTGTGTTCACTTCGAACGCCTCTCTGAGTTTCCCGTTGTGGATCACTTGACACGTGGTGTTATCTTTTAGCTGTTGAATGAGGTTGACGAAGACTTAAGGTACTCCGTAGTATCGAAGAAGTTTTCAAATTACATCTTGATCAACGGTGTCTGTCTAAGGCCTCTTCGAAATCGATTATATGTATCAATGACTACAACTCAAAGGTGATATGACAAGCTAAATAGTAATCAACAAATTGAGAACATCAACTCGAAGAACTTTCAACGCAGATAAACTCCAACTCACATTTTTTTCACATGACCACTTGTGATTCTTCGACTGAAAAAGAAAGTATTCAGGCTAACTACCATCTTTCAATTGTATCTGTCAGTTCAATTGCTCCTTTGAAGCTAGTTATGTTGACTGCTGTTCTAGGAACACCAACTGGTGTGCTAATTAAAGGTGTAATTAAAGCCATCAACAATTCTATATTAGATTATCTCATCCAAACAGGTCGCAGTAAAGTTACCAGTGAAGCGTCTTTTCCTATCATCTATCGAATGTCTAATAAATTGCCAAATGCCTTCAAATACCGAACACTCTAAACAGCAACAGTCATTCGAATTCGCTTAAAACCATCAGTACTCTGCATACAAAAGAAACAGGTCTAGCTTCTGCTGACATTAGATGGTTGGAGGCAATCGGCAGGATGCCCTGCCTGACCCAGGTTTCGTTCTAGTTGCCACTCACCAATCAGTCAGCAAGGTGTATCTGCAACCATGAAGGAACTCATGTATCGAACCCGCATCACCCAGTGCTGCATTCAGAGACGTTAACACTGAGCTATTCGGGTTCGCAATTGTCCTCCTGTAGGACTGTAGTGGATGCTTTGATTGAACACTAGTAACTGGTGTGATGTGTCTAGTCCTTTCTTTGGTGCAGACTGAATTCTATCAGTCAGCTTTGCAGTGTGGCTACCATTCTAGGTAGTTCGCCATCACGGTGCAAATTGATTTGATGATACTAGATGGTTGGTTGCTGCTGCTGCTGCTTATAGGCAACGCTATCCTCCTTTGAAATATAAATACTGCAGTAATATTGTCCTACAGATAGAACCTTAAATGACAGCCACATCACCACACAGTCCCCAGTATTTGGCTGTCGGCAAACCGACATCTCTTAACACGTAGGGAGATATGTACTACATAGTACACATATCCCTACTTGTCACAAACCATCCAGCACAAAATCTTCATGGGTTTGATTCGATTCCAGCTAACTCTCTTCTAAGCTAATTCTATGTCAGTCAACATTGCTCATTGTGGGAAGTGGTATGTAAGAATAAAAATCCGCTTGTGTGAACTTCAACCGACATTAGGACTGAGTGCCTAACTTGCGTGCTCTTTAGTATTCATGGCTTGCTCAATATTCCGAAATATGTTCCGAATTCGCAACTTGATATTCGATAGTTTGCTCGTTAATATCTTGATTTCATATGTTTTAGGAACGAGAATTCATTCACCACAATGTATCTGTGCACGCATTTTGGATGTATTAGGACAGGAATTAGACAAATTAGAGTGAGTGTTTCGCATGTGATTGGTAAGTTGGACACTCAGATCTAATATCCGTTGAAAGTTATACGAGTGTATTTTTATTAGTACATGCCATCCATTCAGAATATACCCTAAATTGTGATCCACTGGAAATGTGGAGTGTGTATATAATTCGCTGTCATTAATTGTCCTATAGTCTTTTACCTGGAGCGAAGTATCTTGGTTTTCTCAGTCAATGTTTACAGTGTGAGAATCACATTCGAGCGACCACCCGTACACTGTCAGTCGTGAAAGTAATTAGGAGCAGAAGGAACTCGAGTCTAGCATCCTCTTCAGTATCAACAGTACGCGTGATCTGAGCTATCTTTCTGGATTCAACATAGAACTTGGCACCGAAGTGCAGCAGTTCGAGTTGCCACGTTCCAAAGAGCACACAAAGGTAGACAAGAAAATGAGTGTAGAGAATCAATAGAGTTTTGACAAGTATAAGAGTGAAACAGAATGAGTAATGGTAGAGAAGAATATGAAGGTTAAAGAGACTGAATACATCTGCGCCATTGACAACGATTTTGAGCCATGTCACCTAATGTCTCCAGCCATTGATTCTTAGAGTCCCGAGGGCGGGCCCCAACCCGGAAGTCTGCATCTCCCTACCTGACTCAGTTTAACTGTCAGGGATTTCATGGATTGATTGATGGCATGTTTTTGTTTGGCCACCGCTTACTCTTTTCCAACCTGCACCTACCTATATCAGCTAGTAATGCCCGTCGGGGGAGACGATGGTTAGGCATACGCAGCACGTGACCTAACCATCTCAATCTCAATCAACCCGACCGAAAGCTGCTACCTTGACGTGGTGGTCGGGCTTGAACACCGTAATGACCCAACAACCTATACTGGCTGGAACTTATGTTCCTGCAGGTCCTACCATGCCAGAAAGGTTGTTTGGATAGCGGTTAGACTAAAAGCAGTTACCCAATCCAATCCTATGAATTCAAATAAATCACAAAACATCATGCCGGATCGGTCGGGGCCCGGATTAACAACGACCGCGCTTTCTGCTGCCGTGTCACAGGGCAGAAGTGATAAATACGGTACTGAGACACACCAAATGAAAAACAACAAACAAAAACAGGCCGTGCGTGACCGGCCTCAAGCAGTTGTCCCCTGGGCTCTGCGGTCACGCAACCAACTTCCACGGTGTGGGCAGCCGGGAAGTAACAATCGCCCTCACAATCCGAATTAGATGGTTGGAGGCAAGGGCTAGACACATCACATTAGTTACTAGTGTCCAATCAAAAAAATATCCAATACAGTCCTACAGGAGGTCAATTGCGAGCCAGAATAGCTGACTCAGTGGTAACGTCTCTGACTGCAGCACTGGGTGACGCGGGTTCGAGACATGAGTTCCTTTATGGTTGCAGATACGCCTTGCTGACTGACTGGTGAGTGCCAACTAGCACGAAACTTAGGTCAAGTAGGGCTTCCTGCCAATTACCTCCCACCATCTCGTATCTATAATTCAAAGTGCACCGTGATGGCGAACTACCTAGAATGGTGGCCACATTGCCAACGTGACTGATAAAATCCAGTTCGCATCAAAGAAAGAATTAGACACATCACACGAGTTACTTGTGTCCAATCAAAGTCTACCTTCTATTTGCTGTGGAATCCATAAATTCCCCATTATTATTATTATTATTATTATTATTATTATTATTATTATTACTATCAATTTACCTGATATTCAGTTTAGTTTTTTTACGAGTTGATCACGGGTTGATATCAGTTAGAGAACCATTGAAAACCAGGGAGTACTGCCAGACAGCTGTTTCATAAACCTAGTTTGGGAATCATCGGCAGTACGCACCCACAACCAGGGTTCGAACCCAGGACCTTCAGGTTACAAGGCAAGCTGGCTCGTATAGGTGACATGGCTCAAAATCGTTGTCAATGGCGCAGATGTATTCAGTCTCTTTAACCTTCATATTCCTTTCTACCATTATTCATTCTGTTTCACTCTTATACTTATCTAAATTTTCTTGATTCTCCTCTCTCATTTTCCTGTCTACCTTTGTGTGCTCTTTGGAACGTGGCAACTCGAACTGCTGCACTTCGGTGCCAAGTTCTATGTTGAATCCAGCAGCAGCAGCAGCGTATACCATTCAGCCACTGGGACCCAATTCAATGGCTCATGAATTCTAACCCTTGCAAAAACCGAACTATAGAAAAGTAATCTGGTGCTCGCTAGTGACTTGCTACAGGACTGAGTTTCCTGGAGTCAGTTCTAGTGAGAAGTCGTGACCAGTGAGGTCGATCCAGATGTCACGTGTGAGGATGGATGTCCCACCAACGACAATGGTTGGAGTAGCGCTAAATCACGAATTGGTAGAAGTTACAATTCATGCACTGGCCATTGAATCGGGTCCCAGTGGCTGAATGGTATACGAGCCAGCTTGCCTTGTAACTGGAAGGTCCTGGGTTTGAACCCTGGGATTGAGTGCGTACTGCCGATGATTCCCAAACTAGGATGAAACAGCTGTTCAGTACTCCCTGGTTTTCAACGGTTCTCTAACTGATATCAATCCGTGATCACCTCTTAAAAAAAAACTAACCCTTACAAACCAGACTATAGAAAATTCAGTTTAGTATTATATTGATATGTCTTATCACTTACAAATGCTTCTGAACTGTAATCTGTTGATATTACTGATCCGATGTTATTTAAAACACTCGTGTTGCTAATAACAAAAATTCTTTAATCATTATGGATGCATATAACTGTACAAATGGATGAGGAAGTTATCGAAAAGAATGTTCTCTATTCACTAGTCAGTCATTTAATATTGGAATTATTCAGAAGAAGGAAGACAGAGAGAGAAAGAGACTTCTCTCACACGCATATGCTTCAAACCACAGCAAATGAGAGGAGATACAACTTATTGGTCTAAGAGACGGCGTTGTATTTACAGCCAATGAGTCACGGGGTTCGAACCCCGGTTCCATCACCTACCGAGGGTCGGACAGCTAGGTAGTATTGTGGTGAGAGCTGGCTGCTAGCCAAATTGGTAGACAGTAATTTACGTCAATGTGTACGTCCCCAATATTGGTCGTGAGAAAAATAAGAACAAAGACTGATTCAACAACCAACCACAGCAGACTTTGCGTAGGCGGATACAATTTACAGATAGATAATCTGAACTTCAATAAACGGCCACAAAGAGATGAAAGATTAACATTCAACGAGAAACAACCAATCAGAAGGCTGTGTTTTTTTGCTAACAATAATCTATAATAATGTACATGAAAATCTATAAATATCTGTTGATTTCCTTAATAAACGATCTGTTGCCTGGCACTTGTCTTCTGCTGTTACATTTGGTGTCGCTGCCTACCGACAAATGGAGAGCCTATGCCCTGCAGTTTTTGATGGAGACATATGGATCTTCGAGCAGGACTTCGAGGCTTCTGCGCAGTTGAGTGGCGTTCAAGATCTGTCAGCGATGAGGCTGTTACTTGGTCAAGCAAACAGTTTCCAAAGTGGGAAGGACCACATATGGTCACGTTGAGATGGGGTTACGCAGACACAATCGCAATGGCAAACAAGGAGAACATCCGCAAGCGCCGAGATTCCAGACAGCAAGACAAACGAGCAAAGCCCCTGAAAACAAAGAAGACCGAACCAACTTCAGTCGAAAGTCTTTGACGGCGCGACGAGTGTGTTGAGAGCTGGCTGCTAGCCAAAGTTGGTAGACAGTAATTGACGTCAATGTTTATGTCCCCAATAATAGCCGTGAGAAAAATGAGAACAAAGGCTTTGCGTAGACAGATACAGTTAGCATATAAATGATCTGACATTCAAGAAACAGCCACAAAGAGATGAAAGATTAACTTTCAGTGAAGAAACAACCAATCAGAAGACTGTTTTTCTGCTAACAATAATCTACAATAATGTACATGAAAATCTATAAATATGTGTTGATTTCCTTAATAAACGATCTGTTGCCTGGCCCTTGTCTTCTGTTGTTACAGTATCACTAACCCTTACACACACGATACACGTGTATCTTATAGCCGATTGCTGTATGGTATTCTACAAACTAACTAATAAAGAAACAAGAATAAACAAAGAATGAAAAAAAGTAAACTTACTTCATATTGACGTTTTTGATTTTCAATTGTTGTCTTAAACTTTCGTCGACGAAATAGATCAGTCAGGGCAACATGTACTTCTGGATAATCTTGTTGCAGCAATTTCATAACATCATCTGTTTTAAGTGCTGTTAGGCCAAGATCTGCACGACCAACAGGAACAATGCCTTCTTGTTGTAACCATGAACGTTCATAAGCATCCATTGCACGTCTTGATAGATCAGGGTACTTACGTTTGAAAGATTTAATCTGATATAGAGATAAGAAAGAGAAAATATATATGCAACCTTATTTTTGATATTTGATTAAACCGATGTAAAAACAAAAAATACCTGTCGTTGTGTAATGCATTAGCTAAGGCTCTTGATTTCCAGACAGTAGGTTCTACATTCCAACCAACCTCACCTCATATAATTCAATCTGAACAAGTGGGTGGTAATCGTTATCAACCCTCACACGACAAGTGTAGTAATAAATGTGAGATACAGGATTTCATCATGAGCTGACATTAGTTAGAGAACAATTGGAAAACCTGGGAGTACTGGACAGCTGTTTCGTCCTAGTTTGGGACTCTTCAGCAGTACGCACCAACAGCCAGGAGGTTCGAACCCAGGACCTTCTGGTTACAAGGCGAGCTCGTATACCATTCAGCCACTGGGACCCGATCAAGTGGCCAGTGCATGAATTCTAACTTCTGCCAATTCACGACATAGCGCGAACCCTAACCAATGACTTCGGCGAGTATTTGTCCTCACACCCGACCTGCTGAAGACATTGGCTAGGGTTCGCGCTATGTCGTGAATTGGCAGAAGTTAGAATTCATGGGCCATTGGATCGGGTCCCAGTGGCTTAATGGTATATGAGCTCACCTTGTAACCAGAAGGCCCTGGGTTCGAACCCCCTGGCGTTTGGTGCGTACTGCTGAAGAGTCCCAAACTAGGACGAAACAGCTGTCCAGTACTCCCAGGTTTTCCAATTGTTCTCTAACTAATGTCAGCTCATGATGAAAATCCTATAACCAATTAAATCCCTACAAACCAACACTTGAAAATAAATGTGAGACTTTGTAGTCTCTTAAGTTGAGTCACACACTTACTGTGTGAGTGAGGGCGGGCGGGGCGGCGGGGGTGAAACTACCCAGCTGCCAAGACTGAAACAGATGGAGATGGATTTGAACCAGGAGTCTATCACCCACCACACAGCCCAATGCTCAAGCTAATGAAGTTTCCAAACATGAAAAAAATTCCCCATGAGTAAAACATCAAAAAGAAATACACAAGATAAAGGATAACCAACCTTTAAATAATCAGCAAGAATTTCCTGCACAATATACGATTCTTTTTCATTTTTTCCACCTGGAGATTCAGAATCACTATCTGCCCAATCATATTCATAAATATCCTCCAAGTGAACATTATCAGCAAGTCCTGAGAATGAAGCAGAACGTGAAGCATTCTCTGACTTTAATCTACTCTCACGTCTTGAAGGCAAGGCAGAAAGTGAATTACCCGATTGGTTAGTCTAAAAAAAAGAATTTCATTAAATAATTAAAAAAAACTGCCAAACACAACAGTACTCGAGATTTTTGTGTATCAGAATCATTATCATCATTTTTTAATGGTGTATCCGGCATACCATCAACACTCATATCCAAGTCGAACATGACAGTTTCATCGTCAATTTGATCCTTGAATGGAGCATGATTGTTTTCTGTACAGATTGGTGAATCCATTGGAAAAGAAAAACTGTTATAAATCAGCTTGGTAGAAAAGGTATGATTTGTTTGTTTGGAAGATTGATGATCTATCTAATCAGTCTGTGCGAGTGCCTGTGTTATCATAGATGAAATTTAAAAAAAAGAGAAAAACACCAAAGACAATGATGAGTTAACCAAATTTAGCATGAATATCGTCAATAACTACTACTATTTAAAAAAACACCTTCAGAAAAGTGTAAAGATGTACTCTTAAAGTGAGATTTCAAAGATCTCTAATATATATTCAACACTGAGTAACCTCAAAAAGTTGGTGTGCTAGTCGACATTCAGGAGATCAGCTTTTGATATAAAAAAAGTAACAGCAGGAAAAATAACAAAATCTATGAGGACAGGAATATTTCCAGATTAATCATATTAGGCATAAAGAACACAATAAACAGATGGTAACTCATTCCTCATGAGGCGGAGTTAACTCCCTTTTTTCCAACTAATCGCACTGTCTGTCTGTCTCTGTCTGTTTTCGACATAGAACTTTGCACATATGTGCGGCAGTTCAAGTCGCCACACTCCATGTAGCACACAAAGGAAGAGAAGAAAGTAGGAGAAATGCATAATATAGACAGTAAACAGAGGTGTGAGACAAAGGTATAGTAATAACGAAGAACGAAACAGTTTCATTGGAAATCATAAGTCACAAGGAGTGGATGCACCTGCGCCATTGAGAACGATTTTGAGCCATATCACCAATTGTTTCCAACCATTGGTTTATACGGTCCTGAGGACCCCAACCAGGAAGTCTACACCTTCCTACGTGGCTTAAACTAACTGTTGTGGATTTCATTGATTGGTGAAGCCATGTTTTGGTCTGACCACTACTAACTCTTTTCCAACCTGACCCTATATCAGCTAACACTGTCCATTATCGAGGAAGGCGATGACTAGGCATACGTAACACATGTCCTAACCATCTCAATCGATGTAATTTCACAGTCTCGTCGACTGATTTCCCCTCCTTACCTAGCACTCGACGCCTAACCTCAATATTGCTCACCTTATTATACCACTTGATACGGGAAATAGAACGCAGGCACCTATGATCAAAACGGCTAGTCTTTTCATGTCTTCCGCTCTCTCTCACAGCCATAAAGGAGGACAGAGCGGACTGTTGAGCAGTACACACGCCCTTTGGTCGATAGTCGGATATCGCGTCTACGCCAGAGACGGCGTAAACTGGCATATGCGAACCTAGCCCTCTGTATTCGTTCTGAGATTTCGTCGGAGATCAACCCGTTGGGGCTGATGGTACTTCCCAAGTAAGTGAAGCGGTCAACGTGCTCTACCACTATAGGCACAAACACGAGAAAACCAGGCAGGTTTTAGGCCAGGAAGAGGGTGTATTGATCATATCTTCACCCTCCGACAGATTCTAGAACATAGGCATTCCTACCGGCGTCCAACAATCATTATATTTCTTGACCTAAAGGCGCCATTCGATTCTGTCGACCGAGAAGTACTCTGGCGATGCTTGGCTGTAAAGGGAATGCCGAGAAAATACATAGCACTGATTAGGGCGCTCTACTCGTACTCACGCAGCCAGGTGAGGCCTTACGGCGAGTTTTCATCTGAAGTGGTGACGACTAGTGGCGTCTGTCAAGGATGCCCATTATCCCCATTTCTATTCAACTAATCGCACTGTTAGTATACAGAAGATAAGGAAACTTGTAAAAATGGTATGTTGCAAGACAAGCGACAATCTTCAATGTTGTTATACAAGGAATAAATAAGGCCTATTCGTAGCTCTGTTATAACTCACCTTGTAGATACTGAACATAAAGTTGATGTTAACAGGGCATCTAAAGCTACCTATCGTATTCCAACTAACCTTAGTTTCGTTTCAAGAGTCAATCTTCTACATATAGCTAAATCCATCAAAATACACCTGAAGAAGCTTAACTTATGTACTCAGTGGCAACTGGTGCAGCTGCGTCGGTGGCACAGTGGTTAGGACTCTCGCCGACCATGCACATGGTCCGGGATTCGATCCCCTGCCGGCGCACACCCGATATCTATGGTCGGCCTGAATTTGGGCTACCGATATCCATGCTGAAAATTCCACACTTGTACTGAAAATACGGTGTGGAATCAAGCTGTAAATCAAAATTAAAAAAAAATAAAAAAATTTCTTTCCTTTAGCCATGATTAACTGAGTGTAAGAATCTAATAATTTCTCTTTTTCTCTAAACCTTTTACAATGTATTATTTATTTTAAGCATCCTTAATTGTCGCATAAATTCTCATCTTAATCGTATCTGATATACAATTTAGTATCGCATTTTTCTGCATATTATCGCAATCACATGCTTTTGAAGCGTAATTCTTTATTTGTCTTAAGAACTCGATATTATTTAAAACACACCAATACTGTCAATAACGATTAATCTTCAAATACACCTGTAGGACCTAATGAGAAAGTTATCGAAAGCAGTATTCTTTGTTTAATCGTCATTTTGTCTTCTAAATGTCTAGATGGAGATTTGTACTTTAAATTACTTTATAAGTACACTGCTTATTATATAATTCCCATCGGAATACTGTTCTATGACTCCAAATTATTTTTAATACCTGTCTTAATCTAACCAAATGGTACATGACTGACTGAGTGGTTTCAACATAAAACTTTGCTAAGAAGTGCAGCAACTCGAGTCGCCACACTCCATGAAGGACACAAACGAAGAAAAAAGATATTCGGAAGAACGATAATAAGCATATATGTGATGGATAAACAATAGTAACATAGGAAAACAGTAAGCATATGACAGATCAAAGAGAGTGAATGCATCTACGCCAGGCATTGAGAGAGATTTTGAGCCATATCATCAATTGTCTTCTTGATTTTTTTTATTCCTTTACGTTCCCAGTAGAACATAGGGCTACTTCAAGCTAGAGCTTTGAAGTTTCCGTGGCAGTGGTGTTTATTTTTACGCGATGGGGTTGCTAGCCTCATGCCCAACCTCTCCTCTTTATCAGTCTTATTACTGGCTTAGCGAGATAAAGAAGTGTGTCGGCGACTGAGAGTCGAATCCCGAACCACCTGCGTGGTTGGCAAGCATCCTACCTCTGAGCCACCGACGTGCAGTTATCTTCAGCCATTAGTTTTTACCATCCTGAGGACCCCAACCAGACAGCAGTCTACACCTTTCTATGTTATTGTTATTATATTATTGTTTCCTTTAGTTCCTAGAGGAACATAGGACTTCAGCCTAACGTCTCCACTGCGTTCGGTTCTTTGACAACGTTTTCACCTGGCTCCATGTCAGCCCACATGCTTTCATCTCCTCTTCATATGACCTCCTTCATGTCAACCTCGCAATGACGACCAACTCGCCGCTTCCCATTCGGGTTCCACTCGAGCAATGGCCTGAAGTGTGATGTCACTCACTTGATCGTTTTCTCAGAGGATGACCAATCCACCTCCATTTTTTCCTGCAGATTTGTTGCACAATCGGTTCCTGGTTGGTTCGCTCCTAGAGATCCCTGTTGCTGAGCTTTTCTGGCCGGCCATCTGATCTTGAGTATTGAACAAAGACAGCTATTGATGAAGGTCTGTAGTTTCTTCGAAGTGCTATTCATGATGCGCCAAGTCGCTGACCCAACACCTTTCTATGTGGTTTAAACTAGCTGTCAAAGATTTCATGAACTGATTCCAAGGTTTGGTTTAACCACCACTAGCTCTTTTCCAGCCTGATCCATCTTCTGTCACCTAACATTGCCCGTCGAGGAAGACGATGCCTAGGCATGCGTAACACATCTCTTAACCATATCAATCAGTGTAGCCTCACAACCTCATGGACTGACCTTACCGAACACTCGACGCCTAATCTCAATATTACTCACCCTATCGTATCATCTAACATGGGAGATAGGATGCAGACACCTATGACCAAAAACAGACAGCCTTTTCGTATCTTCCCCTTTCACTAACCATGCCCCATAGCCATAAAGGAGGACAGCGAACTGCCGAGCAGTACACACACCCTTTGGTTGACAGCCGGATATCAGGCTCACTAAGCCAGAGATGGCGTAAGTTGGCATATCCGAAACGAGCCTTCTGTATCCGTGATGAGATTTCGTCAGCGATCAACCCGTTGGGACTGATGCAACTCCCCAAATAAGTGAAGTTGACACACTCTACTACGTCACTCCCTTTCTTTAAGCTAGGAACCAATGTAGTCCAGTCCTGCAGACTGGTGGTAACAAGTCAATTCCTGAGTCGCTGAAGTCAGGTCAGTTAGAGTTAAGTCCATTAGTACAATATCTATGATGAAATTAAACAGAAATGGGGACAATGGTCATCCCTGACGGACACCACTAGTTGTCACCACTTCAGATGACAACTCGCCGTGGGCTCTTATCTGGCTGCATGAGTTCGAGTTGAGTGTCTTGATCAGTGCAATGTATTTTCTCGGCATTTCCTTTACAGCCAAGCATCGCCAGAGAACCTCTCGGTCAACAGAATCGAATGCCACCTTAAGGTCAAGAAATATAATGACTGTTGGACGCCGGTAAGAATGCCTATGTTCTAGAATCTGTCGGAGGGTGAAGATATGATCAATACACCCTCTTCCTGGCCTAAAACCTGCCTGGTTTTCTCGTGTTTGTGCCTCCCGAGCACCACTTAGTCTACACAATATTATTGAGCCTAGGACTTTAGATACTATATTAGTCAAGCTAATCCCTCTGTGATTATCACAAGAAGACTTGTCTCCCTTCTTGTATGTCGGGATAATCAATGGCTTACACCAGCCCGAAGGGACTATCTCTGATTCCCAGACGCTGCCTAATACCTTAGTTAAAGCAGACAGTAAACTGTCTACCGTCATTAAACACCTCTGAAGACATTTCATCAGGTCTCGCTACTTTGCCTCATTACAGATTAGTTACAGCCTTAGTAACCTCAGTTAGGACGGAAGACCTGTGTATTTATCCCATTCAGGGTGTTGAATGCTGTAGGCTATAGGCCAATTAAACTGCTCCTTAAAGTGTTCCTTCCAATATTCCAGTCGTCTATCCTGAGAGTTAATTATGGTGCCATTTTTCTTGGAGATTGCTTCACTTATCATTTGCCTTTAGCCTGCTGTTTCCCTGATAAGTCTAAATAGTTAATTATCTACAACTCCATTAGTTGTAATGGATACTGCGAAGAAGCATAGGTGAACAGAAACCACTTAAAGGCATGAAGACTATGTTATCAGCTCGCGGTTGTTTATCTGAAGTCATTTTGCACTACTGGAATAGAAAATTTCTACAGCTACATGACTCAAATTAATCGCCACTTATTATTCCTAGTATTCATTTGAAGCCTAGAGGCCATGACAGAGAGAATGCCACTGAATTTTGGAGAGAGAGATAATTAGAAAAAACTTCAATGCATATCTACTGACTACAAAAGTATGCTCAAAATATTAAACTGTTTTGATTTTAGAGCTGCTCTATCAAAAATGACGCCATTCAAATTAAAACCTTTCTTGGACATTAGAAACTTCTACAGTAACATTATGTAACATCATGTAGTTCGGTAAGATAATGAGTAGTCTTCAAAAAATAAAAAATACAAAAATATAGTATATTATATAAAATTAGGAAATAAGTGGGAACGAATGGAGTTAACTTTAATAGGGAAAGCGAAATTGAAGAGGTAAAAGCACCTCTTTTTCAGTTGTATTCATAGAAATGCACTTTATAATGAGCCACATCTACTGCGTGACATTCAACAGCATTATGTTATGGGTAGTTTCAATTGATAGATTACAGGTTAAAGGTCAAACGATAAATCCAATGAGTCACAACTATACCAAAAAAAACTTCATTAAATTCAAATGGCGTTGATCGAACTGACACGGAGATTTATCCCCCTTCTCATAAGCCGAAATAATCAATGATTTCAACAAATTTAATGGAACTACTTCGGGCTCCTCTACATTAAGTGATATCCTAGTTAATCTAGTCAATAATTCATCCCCAACAAAATTAAACAGTATCAGAGTTATACTATCAGGTGCTGCTGTTCAGTCTCATTTGGGATTACAATTAACCTTTGCAATCTCAGACACTGTTGGCGAACCGATGTCCACATTGCACTAATGTAGTGAATGGATGGTTGGCCACTATAGTGTAGCCAGTTTAAATGCCCCTTAAAATGCCCTGCACAACGTTTTAGCCACTTTCTCTGGAAAGTCATCACAATTCCTTTTTTACCCATGATTATTTCACTTATAGCAAGTTTTCTAGAGTGCTTTTCCGTATTGAGCTCCCTAGTCAACATAATAGTTACTACTCATGGTGGTACTTACCATGTCCATCTTAGGCCAGTTTACCTGGGTAAGGAAAGTTCTGTTTTCAAAGAAATATCAACCCGCAGCTTCTCACAGTCATTAAGGTACTGAAAAAGCCGTCAGGGAACGAATACTAGTACACATTGAGAAACATAGTTTACTGGAAAAAGACCAGCATGAATTCAAACCCGAACGATCCTGTTTAACGAGTTTACTGGTAGCTAGGGGAAAATGACTAGAAGAAAAGGATAATATACTGGTTGACAATGCGTTCATTCACCTCAGAAATGCCTCAGATACGGTACTCAAAGTATGTCTCAGTGAATTAAAACGGTTCGGCCAAGATAGAACCCCACATAACTGGTTTAACGAATACCTGCCAAAGGATAACAGTAGGTGGAGAAAACTGGGTGGAAATCTGCACTGAGAAAGGTCCAACAAAGGCATTATTCTAGGCCTATAGTTATTTCTACTATATATCAAGAATTACCTAAATTGGTAAACCCTTCGCCATAATTTACAGGTAATTTTGATACTTGAAGAATTAATAATAATAATTAATAACTACAAAAATTAATCGGTGAAGTTCAGAAATTAATTTCAGAAAAATTGCAACGATCCATCTAGACCAGTGATTTTATTCGACACAATTCCTCGGGGAAGGCCGACATCCCACTAAGGAACAAAATGTTCACGAATTGTTGTCACCTACAACCTAAAAACTGTTCAATATTGTAAAACAGTTGCAGTCGAGGCGTTTCGAGTAGTGTGGGCGGTTTGCAAGTTTTTCCAAGGCAGGGATGAGAATGTGTTTAAGGTTTTGCACCCAAATTGAGTTAGACCTCATCTTGAATACTGCATGCAAGCTAACAGCCCATGCTTCTGAAAGGGGAGACACCCTGGAAATAGTACAAAGGACAAACACTATGTTATTTGAGGAAATGTAAGAGTTGGAAAGCTTGGATCACTTCTCACTTTATTACTGTAGGAGAGATAATCCCATTTTGGATTAACATATACAAAATGGCGACTCAAGCACTGATCCTTCTAATCCCTTTACTCCCCCTAAAAATGCTTCCCAGAGGTCACGAGAAAAAAGTGCCTAGGCTGTATAAAACAATTGCATTTTATGAAAAAACACAGTTGCATAGTACTATTTACTGATAACTATTTGAGCGCAATTTGTTGCAATAGTCACAATGTAATGTAATGTAACCATAACCACAGAATCGCAATTATGTGAAATAGTTGTCAGTAATGTATGGTGCTGCAGATTTCATCAGCAAACAGAATTGTACCACTGGGCTTTCTGCTAAATAAGATTGCTGTGTGGTGGAATTACAAATGGAATACAAAGTGGAATACAAATGTTTTTAAAAGGTACTTCCAGACTAATGTGCATACGGAAACAAATGAAACAATTTTAGGGCTTATAATTACTACGAAATTATTATACTGAAAAATAAAATCAATGCCAGTACTGTTAACCCTACCTTTGACAAACCGGAAAGTTGGAAAATATATCCGACACAATGTAGCTTAATCACTCGAGCGACGCGCTCTTTTACCTTCCAATATCCAATATCGTTTTTGCGAGCTAGTATAAACCAATTTGATTTCTTTGTGCTCGCCTCTTGATTGTGAGGTAGAGGTTCCTGATCTTCGGTAAACGTCTGTGTAGCTCGTCCCGCCACTCGACTGTCGTAGCTTTGGTTGACTCCAACAGGAGTAGTGCTGGGGTTAATTATATGGGATTTGTAGTATGAAGTGTGTTAAGACTGTTACTACTGTGAATGGAGTTGACCCTTTCACCAGTTAGTCCTTCGGTATCGTCGTCAATGGAAAAGAGATAATAATAATAATGATAATAATAATAATAATAGATATAATTAGTAAAGGTATTCAGACTAACAGACAGAGAAAGGATAAGAAAACGTAACAACAGTCAGTCAACCGGTATACATATATATATGCCAGTAATAATGATAATAACAATAGGTGTAGTTAAAGCTGTCAGGAGAGTAAGACTGAAGGGAATGTGAAGAAGTAAAACGACCAGTTTAATTGTCTACCTTTGAATGGTATATGCAATTTTAAGGGGATAGGCCATTTGGATGCAGTCCTTGTGTCGCTGCGTGGTTGTCCAGCCTTCGCTTAAAGGCGTCCACAGATGGTGCCATAGCTACATCTGCCGGTAAGGAATTCCAGGGACGGCAAACCCGAAGGGAAAAGAGGTGGGAGCGCACCAGGGTCCTTGCCCTCTGTCGAGCTATCCTTCTAGGGTTTCCACGAGGAAGCCTATACCTACTCAATGGCAGAACACCTTTGTTTGGGTGATTCTGATCATTTGTTATTTTGTAGGCAGTAATTAAATCCCCCCTCAGGCGACGGTAACTGAGTGTGAATAGGCCTAATTTCTTCGGCCTTTCGTCATATGGTTTATTTCGGAGACCAACCACTCCTTTTGTTGCCCGTCGTTGGACTTTTTCCAAGAGGTTGGCGTCTCTTCTAAGCAGTGGGGGTGCAATAATATTATGCACTTCAAGGTGTGGTCGGACGTGTGTTTTGTACAACCTGAGAAAGAGCTTAGGTGTGAGTGCATCTAACTGTCTAAATGTAAAGTGTATGACCGCATTGACCTAGATACGTCCCCCGTGTAACTTACGCTTGTGCCCATTTTTTCGTTAGAACTGGACCTAAGTCACGCTCCGACGTTGTGCAGGACAAGCTTTCATTGCACAGGGTGTGACTTGCATTCCGCAGTCTACAGGTGCGTAATTTCACTACTTTGCACTTTTTCAGGTTGAAAGTCATGCAACTGGCCACCGCCCAGTCTTCCAGAAGCCTTAGATCTGCCTGCAGTCTATCTGAGTTCTCCGGACACTTTATCGCCCTCCATATCTTTACGTCATCAGCGTATAGAAGAGTCGGGCAGCTTAGACGGCATGGTAAATCATTGATAAAAATCAAGAACATCAGTGGTCCCAGGATAGAACCCTGCGACACTCCTGATGACGAGCTGTGCCAAGATGATCGAACTCGATTGACCTTGGTGCAAAATTGCCTTTCAGTTAGGTAGTCCTTCAACCATGACAGAAGTGGTTTAACTAGACCTACCTGGCTTATTTTGTGTAGGAGAAGGTCATGGTGAACAGTGTCAAATGCCTTCTCAAAGTCTAGAAAGATCACATGGACAGGAACATTCATATCCCAGCATGATGTCCAGTCGTCCCAAGCTGATAATAAGTTAGTGACGCAGGATCTTCCCTTCCTGAAACCGTATTGGGCTTCATGGAGTATTTTAGACCTATCCAGATATTCCCTGATGTGATCATCAATAATACTTTCCAGTACTTTCGATACCACTGGGAGTAGAGCTACTGGTCTATAACTGGTGGGATTTTGCCTATCCCCACCCTTGAAGATCGGAGAAAGGATACTCCTTTCCCATTCCTTTGGCAGCTTCCTCGATTCCATGGAGTGTTGGAACAAGTCGCATAAAGGCCTACAGAGAGCTTCGGCGCACTGTTTCAGAACAGATGGCCTGATGTCATCACAAAATATCATTCTCGGATATTAAGGACATACAATCCGCACAAGAAGGCTCTTACGATCTGCGTAACCAAAATTGCACAGTGACAATAAAAGCCTTTAAGTCAACACTACACGAAAACTTCTTCACAGTCATGTATTCTAAAATATGGAACAATCTGCCCCTAGATGTCAGGAACTGCAATACAGTTTTGAGTTTCAAACGCTCTCTGTACACACTATTCCACTCTACCGACTATATAAATAAACTATTTATTCCTAGAACGAATCAACTATTAGTCTATTACAGTACCTAAACGCGCTTAAATACCCTTACTTCTCTAAAGACTATAAATAAATAATAAATAAATAAATAATAGTATATTCTCATTTTGTACATGAGGGACGCCAGTTTACAGGCATCATCAATATGATAAATTACATATACGATTAGTAAACATATTTAATAATAGTAATTTCATTAAATACATTTTTTCCTACCTGTGTAGGACACACCAATTGTACAGGCATGGATAAGTATCATTTAAATTACATAAATTTGGTTCATGGCAAAATTATAAGGTTGCAGTCATTTTGTCTATGGGAACAATATGATAACTAGTCATTCAATGGAGCACATCAAGAAATATAGAAATATTGTCTTCGCATTAACAAAAAAACCCAAGTATGTTTTGGATGGATTACAAATACTTGGGAAAAAAATAAAGCTTGAAGTAATTCCTCCATATAAATAAATAAATTTATTCTCATAGTACAGTGCATGAGGGACGCCAGTTTACAGGCATCATCAAATTGTTACAGAAATAGAACCATATAATTCAATCACAATTTACAGGCAGTAGCAAGATATGCTTTACATGTTCGCTGGAGATTATACATACACTTGATAAATGTTAATCCCAGTAGTATAAAACAGCCTTTTCACTTATATACAATCATTTCTGTGCAAAGTTGGAAAAATCTGCTAGATTGTCAGTGAGTGCAACACAACAGGAAATACAGGAGTACTGTCTTCGCATTAACAAAAAAACCAGGTCTTTGGTGGATGGATTATAAGTGCCTGGGAAAAAAATAAAGCTTGAAGTAAATATTCATACATAACTTTGTTGTGTGCAGAGTCCTCGAATTATAGTTCATGGATGTGTTATTTTGGAATCAGTGATGTGTTTGTCTCATTTGATCTGCAATGTCATTGTTGGGAGTAAGTACATAAGCTTCGGACGCATTAATTAATGGATTTCTACTGCTTGTGGGTATTTCACCTTCGGTGTGTTCCTTATTCCAATAGCAAACACAGAGATTTGTTGGAATATCTGGATAAGTTTCTTCACTGAAAGAGCGCATTAGAACCGACGCTGTTTCCCATAACATGTGAGATGGTTCCTCTTCTCTGATCGATTCAGCTACAAACCTTTCGATCTCCGGTGTCGTGACGCACACACCTGCATTAAGCCCAGTATATTCAACCCCAGCCTCTAACGGCCCTTACGCTGAAGTTCTTCAGTCCTTTGCCAACCTGTTCAAACCGGTTTCTAAACTTCCTTGTGTGACTTCTACTGTCACTCATCATATCGTGACCACTGGTCCACCGGTCTTCGCCAAGCCACGGCGATTGTCCCCAGAAAAACTACAAGCCGTGAAGGCTGAATTCGAACATATGTTAGACATGGGGATAATCCATCCTTCCAGCAGCCCGTGGTCTTCCCCTTTACACGTGGTACCAAAGACTAACTGGATAGATTGGAGGCCTTGTGGTGACTACCGCAGGCTTAACGCACAGACCGTACCTGATCGCTACCCCGTACCACATATTCACGACCTTACGTCGTCTCTAAAGGGTGCCACGGTATTCAGTAAACTGGACTTAACCAGGGCCTATCACCAGATTCCAGTTCATCCAGGCGATATTCATAAAACGGCAGTGATCACCCCTTTTGGTCTTTTCGAATTTCTTCGAATGCCGTTTGGTCTCCGCAACGCCGCACAAACATTCCAGCGATTTATTCACGATGTTTTGCGCGGATTGGATTGCGCATATGCTTATCTCGACGATATTCTCGTGGCTAGCCCAGATGAAGCTAGCCACCGTACGCATTTACAGATGGTTTTCGAGCGGTTAACAACCCATGGTTTGACACTTAACATGTCTAAATGTCAGATTGGCGTCCATTCATTGACCTTCCTGGGACATGCCATTAATGAACAGGGAATTCGCCCGCTACCTGAGAAGGTGCAGGCAATACGCGACTTCCCGGAACCTACGTCAATAAAATCTCTGCGCACATTTCTCGGCATGGTGAGCTATTACCGACGGTTTGTTCCTCAATGTGCACATATTTTACTCGCACTCACAGACCTACTAAAGAGCAAGAGCAAAACGTTCAGCATGACACCAGAGGCTCGAGAAGCCTTCCAGAATATTAAGTCGGCAATTGCAAACTCCACCATGCTAGTCCACCTAGATGTCCATCTTCCGCTTAGCATTTCAGTTGATGCATCTAACACAGCCATTGGAGCTGTTCTACAGCAACTGGTAAATACCTCATGGATACCAGTCGCCTTTTTCTCTCGGAAGTTGTCCGCCGCTGAAGCGAGGTATAGCACCTTTGGCCGAGAACTCCTCGCCATATACGCGGCTATCAAACATTTTCGTCATTTTGTCGAAGGTCGGAAATTCACACTATTTACCGATCACAAGCCCCTGACGTATGCCCTCCACTAGTGTCAGCTAGATTTGTCTGGCCTGGTATAAATCGCGACGTGCGGATCTGGGCACGTGTCTGTGTGCCGTGTCAGCGAGCTAAAGTCCACAAACACAACATCACTCCAGTGGGTTCCTTCTCCACACCCGATGCTCGCTTTAGTCACGTACATCTAGATATAGTGGGTCCTCTACCACCATCAAATGGCCACTGTTACTTGTTGACATGTGTCGACCGGTTCACTCGTTGGCCGGAAGCTATTTTCATCTCCGATACGACCGCGGAAACCATTTGCCGAGTGTTCATGGAACGCTG